TTGGCTTTGAGAATTCATTGAACTGACAACTGGTGATGATGCCTTGGCAGCTTTCCCACACACTCGGGGACTCTGGTGGGGTCAGATAATCTGACCCCCAAACCATCATCGAATGCGATGAACCTTCCATGAATATTCCATCGCATAGACGTTTACTCACACACGTATTCATTGTGACTTTACAACTTTCTCTTGGGACTTCAGAGCCAGTACTGTTTTGGGTTGGAGGTATTCCCTCATTCGGGTCACAGACGTTTTTGGTTTTTTTGCTTTTTTTTTTAAATTTGTTTTAATTAAAAAAAATTTTTTTTAACGTTTATTCATTTTTGAGAGACAGAGCATGAGTGGGGGAAGGGCAGAGAGAAAGGGAGACACAGAATCTGAAGTAGCTCCAGGCTCCGAGCTGTCAGCACAGAGCTGGACGTGGGGCTCAAACCCACGAACTGTGAGATCATGACCTGAGCCGAAGTCAGTCGCTCAACCAACTGAGCCACCCAGGCGCCCCAGGTTACAGATGTTTTCATAGGCCCTTGTCAGGTTCCCAGTGCTCGGCCAGTGTGCTGTGGGTACAGCCGAGCTGCCCGTGTGGGGTGGGAGGGTGGCCGGAATGGCATCTCTGGGTACCCCCCCACACACCCCAGTAGCTGTGCAGAAACAAACTTGCTCAGCTGCACCGAGGGGCCGGAAGAACTCGTAGTGACAGTGGCGACCCCTCCGGATCCGCAGCAGCCCCTCCCCCAGTTTTCCTTGCAAGCCAGCGGCTGCGCAATGACTAAGCTCGACAATATTACCCATTCATCTACCTGTTCGTTCAGCGATACCGAGCGTTAATGAATCCAGCCCTCAAAGAAGGCAATCAAGTTGGCGACATCTATCAGAACTCCAAATGCAAGCGCCCTCTGAACGGCGGGACCCCACTGGTGGGAAGGCATCCGTGGGTGTTCTCACTCTCGTGCAGTCAGGTCCGTGCTGCAAATAGGAGCGTCTTAGAAACCACCAAATGGCCTCCCGTGGGGGCGGGTTACAAAACTTACGGTGCGAGGACACCGTAGCTGCCCCTCGAGTCCTCTTGCAGCCGAGCTCCCAGGTACAGAATTAACGTGTTTTACAAAGCAAACCTCTGGACATACACTAAGCACCGTGTAGACCCTGCCCTTTATGTAAGAGAAGAGACATACATACAGACTTGGTCGTGCACAGAGAAACCCAGGAAGGACGGTCAGGAAAGGGTAGTGCCTGTGGGGTTGAGGAGGACCTGGGCACAACGGCATTTAATGCTTGGGGGGAAATGTTTTTATGGATACTTTTTAATATATTTAAAAAAATTTTTTTTTAATGTTTGTATTTGAGAGAGTGAGAGACAGAGTGTGAGTGGGGGGAGGGGCAGAGACAGAGGGAGACACAGAATCCGAAGCAGGCTCCAGGCTCTGAGCTGTCGGCACAGGACCCGACGCGGGGCTCGAACCGACTAGCTGAGCCCCCGGCTCATAACCTGAGCCGAAGTCAGACACTCGACCGCCTGAGCCACCCAGGCGTGCCAACTTTTTAATATTTTTTTTTATTTTTTAAAGGCACGTAGGGGTATCATGCATCGGAATAATAATTTAAAACGTGCCTGTTGAGCGTCTAACCGTAGCCAGGCCCGTTCTCGGCACAGAGGAGAGTGGAGACTGAGGCGGACAATTTGAGAAGAAAGAAAATGGCCTGTTTGTTCTCCACCCCCTCGGGTTAGGAAGCAAATCCGTGCCCACTGCCAGGACATCAAGGGTGTGAGAACGGCCACGCGCATGACCAGGATTCCCTGAAAAGGCCTCGCTGGCATCCCGTCCCCGGTACGTGGACTCACGGAGGGTTGGTGTGGGGTCCTCGGGCGGAACGGCCGGGCAGACCTGGGGGTGGCCTCCCAGGAGGGCGAGCTAGGCCCCCGCAGGCAGGAGTCACTTCCTGGATGGCCCATGAGCATCCCTGGGTCCTACGGGAGGAGCATGACCCGGGGAGGAGAGCCCAGCGCGGGGAGGTTTTGATCAGACAGACAGACAGACGTGGCTTCGGAAGACTCCCCAGCCGACAGATGCAGCTGCCTTCCTGCTGCCCCGTCACCTGGATGGGCTTCTGAGTCCCCAAACCCTGCTGGGTGGGCTTCTCCCCTCCGTCCTTGATAGAGACGCCGAGCGGGGAGGTTAAGCGCCCCCTCAAAGCCGCAGAGCCAGCAAGGGGCCAGGGTCCTAGGCCCGTCAGTGTGACCCTAGAGCCTGTGCCCCTCAGGGCACCCCGGGGAGGGGGACTGTAAGGGGCAGGGCCACGCCAGGGTCACCTCTGTGCCTGGCCCGGCCCAAAGGTAAGCACAGGTCAGGGCGGGGTGGGGGTGGGGGGCAAGGCTGAGCAGTGGGGTGCGAAGCACCATCAGAGATCACCCACCCCAGTCCTTCGGGGGGCTCCTGATGCCGCCAGACCTGGGCCCGGGGTTCCTCTGAGCACAGACACAGGCTCCCAGCTGTTTGCCTGACTTGAGGACCCTGGCCCCGGCCCCTCTGTCACAGACCGCCTTTGTCTTCTCATGCAAACGACCAGGTTCTGCTCACCACGGTGCCCTGCCTGAAAGGGAGGTGGGAAGACAGAACCTGATGGAAAATTGTAGAAACACATTTCTTTGCATTTGAATACTTGCAGGGCTCCGCTCCGGCGGTAAACCCCAGCTTCCTTGACCTTTGCTGAGCCCCGGGCCCTCTTGGTGCCCGGCGAAGGCCGCACGCTTCTTCTCGGAAAAGTGTTTTCAAACACGCGTAGTCAAATACGTAGCATTAGGGTGGAGATCAATTACCCTGGAATAGTGCTGGTGAAATATCTGTGGTGTAGAAACGCCGCGTTTCTTTATTAGCGTGTTAAAAAACGCGATCCGGCGTCGGGTCCAGCTACAGCTACGAGGAGAAAAATGCAGCATCTCCACATGTCTGCAGTAGCTGGACATGCATGTCTCGTCATTTCTGTTGGTGACAAAGTCTCAGGTGACGTGAGCACGGACGAGCCTTGTTCTCTGCACTGGTCGTGGGAGAAATTGCTGAATTTCAGTTAGAGATTAGGGAAAATAAAGATATAGCCCACACCCCGCCCCCCCGGCCCCCCGGCCCCATGTAGAAAATTTTCGTCCTTGGGATTTCCATTCTGAGCCCAGTATTTTCCAGGCTTGTATCCGTGGCAGGAGGACCGGTTAGAACTGCCTGCGTGCCTGTGTCGGTCCCCGGGCCCCCTGGCGGGAGCCTCGCTATCAAGGCTGGAAATGAACTGTTCCTGAAGGTGATGTGCCCAGTAGCTGACCCTCCGGAAGCACTTGGTGGGGCCGGTGCGCCTGTCCCTGTGCAGAGGACACGCCCTGCGGATGTCTCTCCGTCCCTGGGGGGGTGACTGGACCGCCTGGCACCCTTTCTGTGGACGTGGAAATGGAGACTCCGAGATGGGGGGGGGTGGGGTGGGGAGTTTCACGACTGTGTGCGTCACACGGTCGCCAGAGGCTTTTGATCTTGACTTGGGATGAGCACGCGTGACCGCGATTCAGAGCCGTGAGGTCAGGGCACGCTCCCGGTCAAAGTAGTGGCTGGTTCTGTCTCTTTCCGAGACTCCCAACACCATCACTGGGACTTTGCTCGTCCACCTTCCCGCCACGGGAGCGTTGGCCCTGCTGCAGAGACAACGCTGCAGCCCAGCGAAGGTCAATCCCTTGCTCAGGGTCCCGCGGCCGGAACATAAACGGCAGAGGGCCAGACCTGGGGTGCAGAGCTCCAGGAACCACAGGGGGACACGTTGCAGTCACGCGGCGCCCAGACCCAGGGAAGGATGCCAGTGGTTCCTGGCCACTCCTTGCGCCTCCTGGCCACGAGCTCCCCCAGGCAGCCGCTGTCCCGGCGTCTGCCACCACCTTGCAGCGCCGTCTGGATTTGAATGTCCACGTGTGTCACCTTAACCGTCTGTCCTCACGGCCCCGCAGTCAAAGAGCGGCTGCTGCTTCTGCTCCCACTTTACACGCGACAAAATGGAGCTCCCTCCCTGCAGCAACGTAGTCGCAAAGGGCCTGGGGTCTCGTGGAGGTAGGACCCCCAACCTGGAGCCTCTCCCTGGGGCTGGCCCTGTGCACCTGCTGCCCAGATGTCGACCAGGCCTGGGTTTCCGCTGTGGGGCTCAGGATCACGCGAGGGATTCACAGATGAGCAGGTATCCTGTACCCTAACCTCCTCCTGGCCCTTCCAGGGGGCCTGTCTACACCAGAGGCCCCTCGGCTCCCAGACATGAGCCTCCGGCAAAGACCCTCCTCATCGCTCTGCTGGCGAGCGGCATCTCTCCCCGGGAACCTGCCCGCTCCGGGGCCTCCCCCTGGGCAAGGCTCCTGCGGCCCCCGCCCCTGTCCCTACCCCCATCTGAGTGGTGCGAGCCCCTCCTCCCTCTCCCTCGTCATCGGGATGCACACTACCCCCCACAGCACATTCTCTATGTGGACCCCTCAGGTCTCCGTCCCACCCTCCCGCCCCAGCTAGAACGTACGTGCCAGGAGGGCGAAATGCTGTGTGGGGCACGACTTGATGCCCACAGCCCGGGGTTTGTGCACACGGTAGACAATAAATCTTGAGTGGAAGGAGATTAATCAGCACAGAACTTCACCAAAACACAAGTGGCCTCCATGAGGGAGAGGGAGCTAGAATTTAGTTCCACTGCCCAGCTAATAGTGGTGGCTGGGCTGAGGACGTCGGCCAGGGCAGAGACTGGAGGTTGGGGGCGAGGGGCCAGGAAGTCTGAGGTCTCCTCCCCTATCCACCCCCCCCCCCCCCGCTCACTACCAATGTGACCAGGTGTCCGCCCCAGAGTCAGGAAAGAGAGCCAGCCAGAGCTGACAATAGGGCTCCTGTGCGGCGGGCGGCGGGGAGGGCAGGGACTCAGGCAAATGAGCGGGGCGCGCAGATATAGAGGCGTGTGGGCGGTCTGCACTCTGCTTCCCCGGGGTGCTGGCCACGATGGAGGGCGGCCTGAAGCAGCCCAGCCAGGGGAAGGGGCCCAAAGAGGTGGGGGACAGCCAGGCCCTGGCCAAGCTGCAGGAGCTGGCCTGGACGTGGTTCATGGAGACACAGGCGCCCCTCATTCTGCACGACGGAGCCCTGCCCCCCTGGTTTCACGGATTCGTCACCCGCAAGTAAGGCTGCCCCGTCCACATGCCCAGCAAGACCCACAGCCCCTTGGGGCCACGAGAGTGGTCTGGGGGCCCTGGGACAAGCCTGGCTCCTGGGTCCGCTCCTGGGGGCAGGGCGGGGGGCACGCCGGCCCCCACTCTGACCGAGAGGGCAGGCAGGTGCAGGGTGAGGGCAGACCGGGCCCGGAGAACCGGGTGAGTGACCGGGGGCCGTGTCACCCGTCCCCCAACCAGAACACTGCTCATAAGGAGGCCGACAGAGCCATTTGGGGTGGGGGTCGTCCCGGGCAAACCTGGACGTGCACTCACTCTGGAATAAAGGCTGCGGTGTGGGATCTGCAACCTGCCAGAGCAGGTCCAGCCTGGCCGTCCCACAGCACACGCCGGCCAGCAGCCCTCGGGGGTCCCGCACTCAACTTAGCCCTCTGCGGTCCCCGTCTTGAAATGCTTACTTTTTGAAAGGGGATCCACACTTTTTTAATTTTTTTAAATGTTCATTTTTTTGAGAGAGAGGCAGAGCATGAACAGGGGAGGGGCAGAGAGAGGGAGACACAGAATCCGAAGCAGGCTCCAGGCTCCGAGCTGTCGGCACAGAACCCGACGCGGGGCTCGAACCCATGAACCAGGAGATCATGACCTGAGCCAAAGTCAGACGCTTAACTGACTGAGCCCCCAGGCGCCCCCTCCAATAGATATTTCTTTTTTTTTTGAATTTTTTTAAATCTTTATTTATTTTTGGGAGAGAGAGAGTGTGAGCAGGGGAGGAACAGAGAGAGAGGGAGACACAGAATCCGAAGCAGGCTCCAGGCTCCGAGCTGTCGGCACAGAGCCCGACGCGGGGCTTGAACTCACAGACCGCGAGATCATGACCTGAGCCGACGTCAGATGCTTAATTGACGGAGCCCCCAGGCACCCCGGGGCTCCGCATTTTCGTTCAGTGCTGGGCTGGGTAAAACCTGCAGTAGGCCTTCACAGAGTAGGCACTCAGTATCTGGGGAGCAAGTGGTCTACCTACTGCCAAGCCAGAAGATAGCTGGCATTTTCCACCACGTCTCCAAAATACTTGGCACCATTCAGGAATACCCAGAGCTGCCTAGGGCTGGAAGGGACATGCAGGGGAGACGAGGACCTAGGGGTTGCTGTTGTGACCGGGCTCCAGACATAATAGCACCTCCTCCCTGCAGAAACTTCTTTTTTTTTTTTTTAATTTTTTTTCAACGTTTATTTATTTTTGGGACAGAGAGAGACAGAGCATGAACGGGGGAGGGGCAGAGAGAGAGGGAGACACAGAATCGGAAACAGGCTCCAGGCTCTGAGCCGTCAGCACAGAGCCCGACGCAGGGCTTGAACTCACGGACCGCGAGATCGTGACCTGGCTGAAGTCGGACGCTTAACCGACTGCGCCACCCAGGCGCCCCGAAACTTCTTGTGTAGTGCACAACGTGCACAACTGTACAGAGTGGTCCTGTGGCAGGGAGCTCCCCGAAACTAAAGATCTCTAGCTATATGGATTCATTCTTACCACAGAGCCATTCAGGTGGAGAGTGGGTGGCCAGGGTCAGCGGCTATTGTGCCTGCCAGTGAGGCTGCCGTGGAGGGTGGTGCATGGCGGTGGGGGCGGTGGGGGCGGGACTCCAACCCAGCCCAAGAGTAAGTCTTGAGTTTGCCTGACTGAGCCGGGACAGAGCTCAGTCCCAGCCGAAGGTCTGAGAGAGCCTTCTACAGAGGGCTGGAGGGGTGTGCAGTGGGTCTGGCGCCCAAGGGCATGGCCAGCAGGGACTCTGAGGCAGGCCCGGGGCCAGCCAGCCGGAAGGGCACAGGCCCCGGTTAACTGCATATCCTCTGCCCAGGCAGACGGAGAAGCTGCTTGGGGACAAAGCTCTGGGCTCCTTCCTCATCCGCCTCAGCGACCGGGCCACCAGCTACATCTTGTCCTACAGGTAGGAGAGGAGCCGTCCGTGAGGCCCCCGCAACGCGGCCACGCAGATAATCACAGGGGCCCGACAGGCCACAGGGCTCGGCTTTCCCTGGGCGCGGGTCTGCCATACCGTCCGCCGATCACAGGCTCAGCGGACGTTTCCTGAGCAGCACTGGCCCTAGGAGGCAGCCCCGGCCTTCAAAGGGAGCAGACTGGGAGCAGGAGAGAGCGTCCCCTGGGGGGGGGGGGGGGCTGGGGGGCTTCCCGGAAGTGAAGCTTGAGCCATCTGCCAGGGATGAAAGAGGGTACGATGGGAGTCCAGGAGGGCCTTTCCAGCCGATGGGGCCGCACGTGCAAAGGTACAGGGGCAGGGGAGACTGCGGGCTTGGGGGAGGCGCGGTGTCTGGGGTGGCAGGGCGCAGGCTCCTGTGGACGGGGGCTCGCACGGTTCGAGGGCTCTCCGGCCAGCCTGCGCGGGGAGGCCCAAGCACCCTGTGAGATGATGAGGGCTGGGCTACGGTACAGGAGAGGGGGCAGGACAGCCAGGACGGAGCGGAGATGGTGACATCAGAGAGGAGGTTGGGTGGGGGAAGGCAGGAAGAGAAAAGTCCCCTCCCCCGGTCAGGAAGGGGGGGGGGGGCCAGGGCTCCAGGGCCAACCTCAGAGGCCTGGGATCAGATTCAAAATTATCGCCTGCTCAGACCGCTGCACTTCAGATCCTAACCTTGCCTCTGTGCCTCTGTTTCTTCATCTGTAAAATGGGAACATTGTAGTATCTTCTTTGTAGGATTGCCAAACGTGTTGGATGAGTTTATACGTTGAACAGTGCTCGGAACATCGTAAGGACTAAATAAACATCAGTCATGATTAAGACACTATTATTCTACGTGCCCAGTACTACGCTAAGTACTTTGAAACACGTGAGCTCAGCAGTTTTCAAATGTCTTTTTAGCATCAAGGCTCTTTTTTCCTAACATACATGATCTTTGGTGGACTACTGCTCAGCTCTGGGAATGGATCGATCCGTGGAGCACCACCCGGTCCAGAAACAGTCCCACACATTCGGTCGCCTGATGTACAGCAGTCCTGTGGGGAAGGCAGTAAGTGGTGGGGAAGGAACTAGACATCCAGCCGGAAAGCAAGGGCCTGCCCATCCCACACCACAGGCAAAAACTAATTCTAGACGGACCACAGACCCCGGTGAGAAAAGCAAAATAGTACATTTCTCTTTTTTCTAAGTTTATTTATTTATTTTGAGAGAAAGAGCTTGTGTGAGCGAGCAGGGGAGGGGCAGAGGGAGAGAGAGAGAGAGAGAGAGAGAGAGAGAGAGAATCCCAAGCAGGCTCCATGATTTCAACACAGAGCCCAACGTGGGGCTCAAACTCACAAACATGAGATCATGACCTGAGCCCAAATCACGAGTTGGACGCTCACCCGACTGAGCCACCCAGGTGCCCTAAAACGGTACAATCCTAAAAGAAAACGGGAAAGTTTTTCAAGACTTTGAGAAAGGCAAACAATTCTTTTTTTTTTTTTAATTTTTTTTTCAACATTTATTTATTTTTGGGACAGAGAGAGACAGAGCATGAACGGGGGAGGGGCAGAGAGAGAGGGAGACACAGAATGGGAAACAGGCTCCAGGCTCTGAGCCGTCAGCCCAGAGCCCGACACGGGGCTCGAACTCCCGGACCGCGAGATCGTGACCTGGCTGAAGTCGGACGCTTAACCGACTGCGCCACCCAGGCGCCCCAAACAATTCTTAAGACACAAACCTACTAACCATAAAAGAGAAGGTCGATACATCGGATTTCTTTCAAACTGAGTCTTTTGTTAATCAAAAGTTGTCGTTAAGCGAGTAAAGGGACAAACCAGAGTGTTGGAGAAGTTATGTATTGTAATACATGTATCTAACAAAGGACTCGTACCGGAATATATGAAGAGCTCCCGCAAATCAATAAGACAAAGACAATATGATAAAGGCAAAAGACTGGACAGGCGCTTCACAAAAGAGGATACGCCAAGGACCGTAATATGTCGGCATTCAGCAGCATCAGCGACAGGGAGATACAAATGGAACCCACAACGAAGGACGGGGGTGCTGGCCCCACCAGCATACTCCTTGGTGTATTTCCAGCATAAGTGAGCGCACACGTTCGCCAAAACACACGTACAACAATGTCCACGGCAGCTGTATTTATAGCACCCCCCAATCTGGAAAGGACCCAAACGTCCACCAGCATAATGGGTAGATTGTGGATCTTTTCATTAAATGGAATACTACACATCGGTGGGGGAGGAAGGAAGCTAATTCCACGCGGACAGGAATCAATCTCAAAGATACAATGTTGAGTCAAAGAAGAAAAACTGATTCCATTTATGTGAAGTTCCACGACCCGCAAACTGATCTCTGACGGCGGGGCCGGGGCCCAGGCTGGAAGGGGGCAGGAGGGGGTCTTTGGGGAGCTGGACCTGTTTCCGGTTTTGCTCTGGGTGCCGGTCCCTTGGGCGTGTTCATGTGTGGAAATCCGTCGCTGCCCACGGTTGGGACATGTGTGTGTGTCGCCGTAGAATTATCCTTCCATGAAAGAGGACAGGAGGGGGGCAGGGTTTTACAGGCTGGATTGGGGGTGGGGCCGGAGCCCCATCTTTACAGCGGGGACGGGGGTGGGCGGGACAAGTGAGGCTGAGTGTGTGTGTGCCCAGGGTCGGACCTTGTCTTGTTTTAAGACTTTGTCCATCACAGAACTTCTGGTATTGATTTTAATTTTGTAGAATATTGCCTTACTGGTTATTTTGATTACGGAGCTTTGTGGTGACTCTTCAAATTCTGCACCCCAGTGAGTGCCCCCCCCCCCCCCCCGCCGCTGCTGGAGCAGGCTCAGGCACTCTCCAGGGGTGCAGACCCTGCACGGCCACCTGCCAGGCTGGGCAGTCTGTGCTGGAGCCCCCGCCCCGCACCCTCGGGGGCCCCGAGTCCCGGCCCCGAAGCCCCCACCCTGCGCCCTCCCGGCCCACAGCCCCACGCCACACGTGCTTGCTTGCATTGCAGGGGCAGTGACCGCTGTCGGCACTTTGTCATCAACCAGCTCCCCGACCGGCGCTACCTCGTCTCGGGGGACACGCGCAGCCACAGGACACTGGCCGAGCTTGTGCGCCATTACCAGGAGGTCCAGTTTGAGCCTTTTGGGGAGACCCTGTCTGCTGCCTGCCCCCGGGTACGCACCCCTCTCCTCCTGAGTGGGGGTGGTGGGGCAGGGCGCCCAGGCCTGGGGTGCCCACCGCGGGGGCACATGACTGCACTCGTCTTCCCCACTCACCACCATCCAGGGGCACTCGGTGCCGGCTCGGGGTCCCTGTTTGGAAAGGGGAGACCGAGGCAGCATCCCACCTGAGGTCAGGGGCCTGGTGGGCACATGGCAGTCTCCGGCAGGAGGCTGGAGGCCGGCCGGGGGTGCGTGACCCCACGCCTGCTGTGCCCCCACCACCCCAGCCGGAGGACAGCGATCTGTACGATGCCATCACCCCTGGCCTGGAGAATCCGCCTGCCACGGCGTCCGCCCCGAGGGGCCCAGTCGACGCTGCCAGCCCCTGCCCCTGTCCAAAGCCACCCGTGTCCTTCCTCCACACAAAGAAGAACCTGGACGGGAGTTCCTGCAGCTTCTCTGAGGACGAATGCATGGCGGTGAGGAGCCTCTCGGGGCGGGGCTGTGCCCGTGTCCCCAGGCCCGGCCCTTGGGCTGCGGGGTGTGGGAGCCAGGCCCGGAGCGGTGCGGGCTCACCCACGCCAGGGGCCTGGCTCCGGCCAGCCGGATGTGTTCAAGCCTCGGCTGGGTCTTTCTAGCTGTGTGCCTCAGTTTACCATTCCTAAGGTCCCCTGAGGCTTGAATGAGAAAATGAGTAAGAAATGCCTGAAAGGAGGCCCCTGGGGGGTTCAGTCAGTTGAGCATCTGACTTCAACTCAGGTCGTGATCTCACGGTTGGTGGGTTTTCGAGCCCCGCATCTGGCCCTGTGCTGTCAGTGCAGAACCTGCTTGGGATCCTCTCTCTCTCTCTCTCTCTCTCTCTCTCCCTCTCTCTCTGCCCTTCCCTCTCCCCTCTCTCTCGAAAATATTTTTAAAAATTTATATACCAAAAAAAATGCCTGAAAATTCCTCTAAACTGTAGGGGAGATGCCTTCACCTCCTGAGAGGGGCTCAGGGAGGTTTTCCTCCTACACAGATCACAGCACACCCCAGGCCTAAGGCCTTCCCCAGGGTCCGTGGGGGCTTCAGCAGGGCTCCTGCACCCCCTCCTTCTCGCTCTTGTCCAGCCTCACTGGCCTGTGGATCTTCCCCGATCACACCAACCTCGCTCCTACCTCAGGGCCTTTGCACTTGCTGTGCCCTTGCTGCAATGTCCTTCCTGCAGATGCCTGCAGCTCGCACTCCATTCCCTGCTTGCATGCCATCTTTCCAGAAAGCCCAGAGGCTGCCCTGCCCACCCGTCATTGTGCCCATCCCATTACCCTGCCTCACTCTTCTTCGTCCCACCGATCCTGACCCGACAGTCAATCATCTCGTGGCCTGTTATCGTGAGTCAGTCGTATTAGATGACGTAACAGGGTGGGTCGTTGCCCGTCTCCCAGCTTAGAGTGGGAACGCTCGCCACGCAGTCCTTGGCACCTGGGACAGTGTGTGGCACACAGTTTGCTCAGTAAACGTTGGTGGAATAAATACCCAAATGACGGACTCGGGGGTGGTCTGTTCTAGAGGGAGGGAGCGGCGCGTGAGTGGGCTCAGGGGCTCTGAGGGACCAGTGGCCCACTGTGCAGGGAGGACAGGGCAGGACGAGTCTGGGCGTCGACGGCAGGCCTCGGATGCCAAGGCGGAGGCCAGACTCAGGAGTACGGGGGCGGCAGGGACCTGAATGGCAACGAATGCCGACACGCAGCAGGTAGGCGGAGCCAGTGCGGGGCTCTCAGCTTGTCCGAGACGGTCTTCCGCTCACCTGAGGGCATCGTAGCGACAAGGCCACCTGCAAGACGCCCAGTTTCTTTCCTGTCTCCCCAGGTCCCTGTCAGGGTGCCTCCCCTCCCTGAGAGGAGTGCCCTCCTTCTGGACGAGTCTTTCGGAAGCCCCAACGACATCATCTACTCAGACCTGAGGAAGACGAACCAGGCACGGCCAGGCCTGGGCGCGGACGTGTCCAGCAGGCACGGCCTGGGCCCGGTTGGCAGCCTGGCTTGCTCCCCAGGCAAGGGGCCCCCGAGGAGACGCTCGGATGGAGGCCGGGACAGGCCTGACGGCCCAGGGCCCGCCCTCTCTGGGGTGAGCCCAGACCGCGGTCCTGTGATGCCTCCCACTTCCTGGGGCTACCTCCCGGCCCCCCCTTCTGAGGCCCTAGGATCCTCTGCTGCCACCTGGGGCCAGGCGTCCCCAAAGCTGAGCCACAGGGCTCAGCCCTGCTCCCAGGACAGCCCGGCAGACGCCTACGAGCTCCTACAGACGGCAGGTCCCCCATCAGAGCCCGGCGACGTGCCGGACCAAGAAGGCGGCACCTGGGCACCGGCCCCAGTTTGCTGGGGCAGCTCAGCTGGGCCCCCGTGTCCTGGAACGGGCGCCCCGTCCAACAAGCTGCCAGGATCCACAGTCTATGGTTACGAGAGCCTCTCGGGGGCCCCGGGGCTCCCCGAGCCCAGAAACACCTATGAACAAATCCCAGCAGCCAGGAGCAAGGAGACTGGACGGACACACAAGGTGGGTTCTGTGGTGGGAGGGGGTGGCCGCCAGCCCCTGCTGGTGAGAGGGACCTGTGGCCCTCATGCGTGAGCAGCTCAGGTCACTGCTACTGCCCGGAGGGACCCAGAGTTTTCCAGCTCTGTCATATGCTCACAGCTGCTCGGTTTGAATGTAAGGTGGGGGGTCTCTGGGCCTCAGGTTTCCCTGTCCGGGCCACTGCCGGGGTCTCAGAGCCTGTGAGAGGTAGATTGGGAGCTGTGCCCCCCACCCGCACCCCACATATCCTGGGACCCAAGTCACCCAGGGCAGGGCCCTGACTCTCCCGGGACCACAGACCCTGCCCGTGGGCAGGCCCTCTAGAATCCCGTGGCAGCTCCCCCCACCCCTGCAAAGTCCCACACCCTCTCTGGTCCCCCCCACCCTACCCCCCCCCCCCCCGGGTACTGGCCCGGCCGCACCCCAGCTCTGGGAGACCCCTTCCTCCCCTCAGCCACAAGGGACGGACCCTTCATCCAGAACCGGGGACTGGAGGTGGGATTTGGGGCACCGTGCGGCCTTCCCTGGGCTGGGGCCCCAGTCTGCAATCAGCAGGCCGTGCCGGGCCTCCCCCTGTCCAGGGGCCCCGGGCTCCAGCATCTTCTCCTTCTTTGCAGCCCGACAAGCACCGGAGGATCTTCTTCACAGACAAGAAGCACAGAGCCTGAGGGGGGCCTGCCGGGGGGCCTGCCGGGGGGCTTCCCGGGGAGCCCGCGGCCCACCCCCGCCTCCCCAGTGCACCCCACTGGCCCCAAGAGGGGTGGAGGCCCGGGAGGTGGGGGACTGACCACAGGTAGGGTCAGCACCCCCATCCCCAAGGTGAGCACCCTGAGGCCTGGGCTCGCTGACCGGCCCGCCCTCCCCCCCACCCCGCTGACCGTCACCGAGCACGCGGCCAGCCCCGCGCTGGGGCGGCCGTTCTGTCGGGCTGAGCAAGGCCACGCGGTTGTTCCTGAGACCCAAGCCGGTTCCCTCCCGTGGCCCCGTCAGCAGAAAGGGGTGGCCGGCCGGAGCCACGCCGGGGAAGCCCTGGCCTGAGGCAACAGTTCTGACCCTGGAGGGCTGGGCTCCCGGGGGCAGCCCCCCTTGGCCCTTCTCTGCCCCCCCGCTCATCCCAGCCAGATCATGCAGGCCGGGCAGCCCTGACCCAAGCCCTTCCTGGCGCGGACGGGAAATCCCAGGCCCGGAGGGGAGCGGGAAGCTGCCTGACATGACGCTGACAGCCTGCACACACACCCTCGTAAAGCAGGCCGGGCCCGGCTGGCTGCGGGGCTCAGCCGGGTGCACGCCTGGGCCACCCTCACCTGCCCTCTGCCTCCGGCCGGTCTCGGCCTCTCCGGCTAGTTCTCAGACCTGTCCCCTGAGACCCAGACCCGACGGGCGGCCCGACCGGGCGATCGGCTCTGGACGCAGGCGCTCCTGTCTCCCGCTCTCCCTGGGTCCCCGCCCACAGGGTCCCTCTTGCCCACGCGTCCCCCTCGTGTAAGACTGAGCAGGCGGCGGAGGCAGAAAGCCGACTGACCCTCCCCAGAGGGAGTGCCGTGGCCCCCGCTCACGTCCCCGAGCTGGCTCAGGACATGCCTGTGGACTGTGGTGGCCTGTGCCGCTGAGAGGCCCCCTCCAGGGGCCTTATAGGACAGGGGTACAGCCAGCAGCCCCATTCAGACACATGGTTAGCAAACGCTCCATAAATTGTCACTGGAACGACCACGGTCATGAGGGAAATGGACACGGTTGTCACCTTGGGGATCCGGGGCACCAATGTGTTTTCCTCCCAAAGGCACAAAGGTTGAAATAAAAGTTCCTGCCCAAAGCTGGAGGGCAACACTTGACCCTGAGGTGACGCGCTGGCCGTGGGATTTCAAGGGTCAGGAGAAAGGGGCCACTGAGCACGTCCTAATGATGGCAGGCAGAGCACAGGGACGCAAAAGCGCTTTACTCCCAGAAGTTCACCAGTGTGTGGACAGCACGCACCAGTGAGGATTCTGTCTCGGTGCCCAGCGCCGGGGACAGGGATGGAGCCCTCTGCCCAGCGTCCACACAGCTTCACACTGGGTTCTGGAGAAAGACCGCACAGCTCATAAAGCCTTGGTCTCTTTCATTTTTCACTTTGCCCTGGGCGACCAGGACGCCTGCCCAGCACCGGGACGCGTCCGTATCCCCTGCCCCGCGAGGCCTGTGCCTTCCCCGCTTGGTGCAGCCATTTCCGGCGGGGAGAGGATGAGGGTCTGGGGAGCTTGGGGGGGACGAAGGAGGGCCTGTGGTGGGGTCTGGGGTCTGGGAAGGGCCCTGCCCTCACACCCCCCTTCCCTGGTTAAGGATTTTTTTGCTGAAAGGGCCAAGGAAATGTTGGTATGACCCCAGAGGCCACAGCGTCTTTTCCGGGCAGCTTGGAGGTCACTCGTGTAGACAGCAGAGCCAGAGGGTCAGCTTCTGGGCCCCACACCCTCAGCAGTGTCCTCAGATCCGGATGTGGAAGGTGCTAGAAAGAGAGGAGGGCTGGCTGGGTGAGGGCCCCTCGGTGGAACGCCAACAGGCCCCTGGCCCGTGCTGGACGGTCCCTTAGGGAGGGTGCAGAGGATACAACTGAGCAACCCCAAGGACAGGCAGAAAGCTGGACACCCAGCTGTCCCCGGGACCCCAGCCCCCAGCCACGGCCGCAGGGCCACACCTGAGGAAGTCGGGGGCCTTGGCGATCATGTCCTCAAAGTCGGCGAAGCCCAGCTTGCCGTCCCCGTCCAGGTCGGCCTCCTCGATGACCTTGTCGCACACGAGCACCACCTCGTCCTCGTCCAGCTCAGACTTGGTGAGCCGGGCCAGCGTCCGCGTTAGGTCCTCCTTGCAGATGAAGTTGTCTGTGTTGAAGTCTGGGGGCGGGTGGAGGTGCTCAGGCCAGGGGTCCCGCCTGGCACCCCACGGCCCTCAGCCCGTTCACACTCCGGGGCCCCCGGACCCTGTGCCCAGCCGACGGGGGCCACGGGGGCACAAGACGAACACCACATCCGCCAAGTCAACATCTATGACCCTGTTGAGTCCCCACAATGGCCACAGGTACAAACCTGGTCTGAGACACTTCAGAGTCTGAATCTGAGGCTTGTGGGGACACCAGGACCTCCCGGCCGCACCCCACAGCAGGCCCTGTGCCCCCCCCCGGAGCGGAGGAAACTGAGGCCCAGAAAGGCCAAGTGACCGAATCCAGGTCTGAGGGTGGCTTGGAGGGGGAACTGGCCGCCAGCCGAGCCTGTTGGCCAGTAAGCACACCCTTCCCTAAACTGCACCCTGCAGCCTCCCGCAGGTGCGCCCCCCCCCCCCGCCCCCCTGCACTGCCCGGCACCACGGGCATCAGGACTCAGAAGCCCTTCAGAGGGAGGCCCAGGCTGGCCATTGTGCACAGAGCCGGGCGCATGGTTTGATTCTGCTGCCCACAGCACAGCCGCACAGCTCAGAGAGGCATGTGATCACGGCAGTGACCCCGACGTGGGCCCCAGTCTCCAGCCTAGCTCCCAGATGTCTGCCCTTCTTCCACCCAGACTGTCCCCCACTTGTCTGTCCTGCAAATTCCCGTTGGTCCTTCAAGTTTCAGCTCAAACACCACCTTCAGGGGGCTTTCTAGACCTCCGGGCTCCTCCTGCTGAGCCCCCTGCATGGGCCGCACCCAGACGCTGACAGTGATGAAGAGTGTGGCTGCTGGGGGGACATCACGTGTTCCGCCTCATGCCCCCCCTCACCCCCCACCAAACACAAGCTGATTGGCAGGTCCAGCAGAGTCCCCATTGTGCAAGGATGAAGCACTGGGGTCCTGCAGTGACATCCCCGGTCAGCACTGGACCCCGGCATCTTGCCACGTGCCCACAGCACCGCCTCTGGGACAGGCAGGGGTGGGACTCATCTCTGCCCCACAGGGGCGCCCAGCAAGCCCTGTGCAGATGTGCGGGCTGCTGGCTGGATTCCTGTGCCCGTTTCATGTGCACAGGCTGAGGCGGGTGTGTGTGTGTGTGTGTGTGTGTGTGTGTGTGTGTGTGTGTGTGTGACCCTCGCTGGAAGTCAGGTCCTGATTCTCCCCAGCACCAAACCCCCTCTTGTCCAGAAGCAGGGCAGCAAGGGGCCTGCCCCTCCTGCCCGGCTGCACCCCCACCCCCCGGCTGGCAGACAACAGCCTTCCCCGGGAGCGATGTCGGGGCCCTGGGACTGGAGGGTAGACCAGCTGCTGTCTTTCTGATGTGCGCACACAGGCGTGCACGCGTGGACCCAGACCAGGCCTCTGAAATGGACAAGCTGACTACAACAAAGTGAAAGAGCCTGAGAGGCCCGGGAGCCACCAGCTGATCAAAGGTGCTGAGACAGGAGGTCTGCCCACGGCTCCTCTGGTCCACGATGGGTCCCAGCCCCTCCCTGGGCCTCAGTGTTCCCATGAGGACCACTGGCCCTGGGCAGGCCCAGCTCATGAGGTTCTCTCCTCTGGGGGACCAGCGCCCTCTGGTGGCCGTGTGACCACTGTCATAGGCTGGGCTGGGGTGAGAAGTCAGGCCGCCCACCTCCACCTCCAGGGGGTGGGTGGGGGGGCCTGGGAACCTCTCTGCCTGGCAGAGGCGCCCTCCCCCGCCCCTAGTCCCCTGGTCTCCAGTTCACACCTCTAGGACGCCCAGTGACCTCTCCAGAGCCCAGAACTGTCCTGACCTACCTGGAACCCTGCAGTGGACCCGTAGTCCTGGGCACCAGATTCAAACTCCTTGGTTGGCTCCTCACAGCCTGTCCTGTGACCTCCCTGGGCTCACACCACCTGGGTGCGTCTCACCTCCTCAAGCCTGGCACGTCCTTGTCATTCCCTCCACTGGGCACGCCCACCCCCACTTGTCCTATCCAGGGACACCCCCCCGCCCCCAGGGAGCCAGGACCTCCCTCCCCCCCAGGACCCCTGGTGTCCTCACACACTATCTTTCCCCACAGGTCAGGCACTCTCCCGGGGTCCCTGAGCACCCCACCACCAGCAGCGCACAGCCCGAGGGGAGCACCCAACCACCAGCACGCAGCCCCTGAGGGGAGCACCCCCAATACCAGAAGCCCCCAAGGGGAGCACCCCCACCACCAGCACTCAGCCCAAGGGGAGCACCCCCACCGCTAGCACGCAGCCCGAGGGGAGCACCCCCACCACCAGCACGCAGCACCTGAGGGGAGCACCCCCACCACCAGCACTCAGCTTGAGGGGAGCACCCCCACAACCAGCACACAGTCCCCGAGGGGAGCACCCCCACCACCAGCACGCAGCCCGAGGGCCCTACCGTAGATCTTGAAGGCATAGTTTGCCTTGAGCTCACGGGGAGCCGACTCACAGAGCACGGAGAACATGTCCACAAAGTCGTTGAAGGTGAGGTTGCCCTCGCCATCCTCTGAAAAAGCCTCTACGATCCTTTCCTTGAAGGGGTTCTCCTGGAGGAAACAGCCACAGTGGTTGTGTGGGTGCAGGGTGACCCTGGACGAGTGACCTGACCCCGAGCAACCCTCCACCCCGTCCCACCCGCAAAGTGGGAACCACCACACCTGCGTGACTGGTTTGTGAGGGCAGACAAAGCACGGAAGGTACGGATGCCAGTCCAGGCACCGCACTTCGTGTCCCACCCATCGCTCAGACCTGCACGGAGCAGGGCCAAGGTGTGCTCCCCACTGCCCCAAGGGGTGCACAGGGGTGCCTGCCACCATGGGGAGGAGAAGAGGAGGCCCAGGGTG